CATGCACACGATTTTTAGTGTCAGTGCAGTGGTGAAAATTTCGGGTACCCGGTCCCCGCCCGAAATTTTCAAGTCAAACCCGGGTTCGGCAAAACCCGTGATGACTCAGGCCTAAATATAAGTACTTTAGTTTTCATAGCATTAACACTTAACTTCCAAATTTTACAATATTGAGACAAGGCATTCAAAGCCACTTGCAATTCCTCTGCTGTGTCAGCCAATATTAGGGTGTCATCTGCGTACAACAATGTGTATAATTGTAAGAAAAGATCTTTGTTTACTTCTTTATCTAAAATGTCAGCACATACATTTTCAACTAAAAATTTGAGACCTTTAAAGTGTTTACTGAGAAAATCCTCGAAATCATTAAGATATATTGCAAAGAGCAGTGGTGATAAGTTTTCACCCTGCCTAACACCAACATCGCATTGAAAAGCCTCAGACATTTGACCATCTACTATCACGCACGATTTTGCTTGAGAATACATATTCTTAATAACTGTGAACACCTTACCATCCACCCCTGACCTCAATAATTTGTGCCAAAGTGAAACCCTATCAACCATATCAAAAGCTTTTCTATAGTCTATAAAAGCGCAGTAAATTCTCTTCCGTTTAGACAAGTAAATGTCAAGCAGGGATTTCAAAACAAAAATATGGTCTGTTGTAGAATAGCCAGCACGAAAGCCAGCCTGTTCTTCTCCAAGCTTGCATTCATTTTCGAAATAAATTGTTATCCTATAATTCAAGATGGAAGTAAACAATTTTCCCAAACAGCTTAAAAGTGTTATCCCAGGATAGTTATCTGGATCTGTATCCTTTCCTCTATTTTTGAAAATGGGGACTATACTACCTAGACACCAGTCTTTTGGTACTAGACCACTCTCCAGTATTACATTAAAAAAAGCAGTAATACAACCAATTACAGCTGCTGAACAATTTTTCAAAAACTCATTTCTAACCAAATCTACACCACATGCCTTATTATTCTTTAGTTTCTGGATAATCTTTATAACTTCATCAACCGAGATAGGGGCATTCAGCTCATCATTGCCCATTGACTGGTCAAAATCCACATAATGTGTTTCAGATGCTGCACATTGCACATTATTCAAACTACTAAAATGATGCACAAAATCATCTAAGGAGACCTTGGCTGGACAAGAGCTACGCTTCGGTCCATCCAAAATTTTCCAATACTCTTGAGGACTATCCTTCTTAAGTATATGAAGATTGTTGTGTAAGAGCCTAGTGTACGCTTTTTCCTTTCTACGTAGCAATTTCCAATAATCTTTTGCAACAGCATTAATTTCAGCCATTTTTTGTTCTTTATCACTCAAAGTTAGACCTTTGCACTACAGTCGTTTAATTTTATTTTTTAGATTGAAATAACTTGATCTGGCATGCCGACACTCTGTGTCAAACCATGGTTTCTTCTCCACGATAAGTTTCCTAGAATGAATTTTCTTACAGACTTTATCCTCACATATACCGACTTCCTTTGCCGTCTTCAAAAATGAATTTGCCAATAGAGTACTAAAATTATCCATATTACCTTGTGTCGATGACTTCTCAACCATTTCCAATGCATTCATCAGTACTGGAATACTTTGATCAAGATTCAACTTAAATTCAGATGCCTTCTCTTTAGAACACTTAAATGAAGTGTATTTCACTTTTTCGGGAGCATCAACCCTATTTTCAATTTTTCTCAATTCAACATCTTCATTTATAGGAATCAATTTATTTGAAAACATCAGATTCAAAGGACAATGTACATCTGAAACACACTTATCAAAAATGTCAACCTCAAAATGAGTAATATATTGAAATAAACTAACAGATGCAATGACATAATCAACCACACTTTTCCCTCCATTTTTATTGTAACATGTGAAGCTACCAACACCCTTATCACTACCAAATCTCCCATTCACTATCTTCAAGTCAAAACTCTGACAAATGCCAATAAGCTGTCTACCATTATTATTAATAGAAGAATCCATATTATGCCTCCTAGTATCATATCCATCATCAGTAAGCGAGCTCTTAAAATCAACATTATCATTTGAAGAACAATAACCTGAAAATTCAGAAATAACATTATCAATTACCATAAAGTCGTCAAGTAACCCAGTCCTTGAATTAAAGTCCCCTACTAGGCTGAAGGGCACATTATATGTGCTTTTCAAATATAATAGGTCCTGATAAAGGTGATCAAAAACATCATTACTATGATAAACTGACCCTTATCACAAGGGTCAGTTGTTTTGTAGACAAAACAATACAATTACCCAAAGATAGAAATTTTGGAACACATAGAATGCACCTTGGAACATGTACACTGCAATAATTTGAATGATGGGAGTGTGTAGGCAAAACAATACAATTACTAAAATATAGAAATTTTGGAACACGTAGAATGCAGCTTGAAACATGTACAATGCAATAATTTGAATAATGAGAGTGTGTAGGCAAAAAAATACAATTACCCAAAGATAGAAATTTTGGAACACGTAGAATGCAGCTTGGAACATGAACAATGTAATAATTTGAATGATGGGAGTGTGTAGGCAAAACAATACAATTACTCAAAGATAGAAATTTTGGAACACCTAGAATGCAGCTTGGAACATGTACAATGCAATAATTTGGATGATGGGAGTGTGTAGGCAAAACAATAAAGATATACATTTTGGAACACGTAGAATGCAGCTTGAAACATGTACAATGCAATAATTTGAATGATGGGAGTGTGTAGGCAAAAAAATACAATTACCCAAAGATAGAAATTTTGGAACACGTAGAATGCAGCTTGGAACATGAACAATGTAATAATTTGAATGATGGGAGTGTGTAGGCAAAACAATACAATTACTCAAAGATAGAAATTTTGGAACACCTAGAATGCAGCTTGGAACATGTACAATGCAATAATTTGGATGATGGGAGTGTGTAGGCAAAACAATACAATGGCCAAAGATAGAAATTTTGGTACACGTAGAATGCAGCTTGGAACATGTACAATGCAATAACTTAAATAATGGGAGTGTGTAGTCAAAACACGACAATTACCAAAAGATAGAAAATTTGGAACATGTAGAATGCAGCTTGGAACATGTACAATGCAATAATTTGGATATGATTGGAGTGTGTAGGCAACACAATTACCAAAAGATAGCAATTTTGGTACACGTAGAATGCAGCTTGGAACATATACAATGTAATAACTTAAATAATTGGAGTGTGTAGTCAAAACAATACAATTACCGAAATATAGAAATTTTGAAACACGTAGAATGCAGCTTGGAACATGTACAATGCAATAACTTTATTGCAAACAATGCACCCTTGACAAAGATATAAATTTGGGACAAGCAAAATGCAGTTTGGAACAGGTTAGATGCAATAACTTATATTGATGCAAGTATGAAGTCACAACAGTACAATACAAATTTAGAAATGCACTAACTTAATTGATGCAAGTATAGATGCAATTAATGTATTCAAAACAATACAAGTGTAGTGAAATACATATATTCTCTTGCTTGAATCGGTAGTGCAGATGTGCTGTCATAGCCTAGATAGATGCACAGCGTGTACGGACAGTACACACGCCGTGTCGGCACAAGCATAATGCATATTCATTAGGGGGCGTCAACATTTCCTTTACGTAGTGACGTGCGCAAACCTCTACAGGTTCCAAAAGATTGCCTACCAAAACAGCTCTTGCCAGCGTGCAGAAAAATTTGCGTCGCAGAAAATTACTGATTTTGTCTCCAAATTACTGATTTTTAGCCTTATGATTAATGATTTGTGCTCTGAAAGGTTGGCATCCCTGCAATAGATGTAGATTGAAGACAAAAACTGAAGAGATAAAAAAAGTCTTCAGCAAATAATAAGCACAGTCTATGACCGAGTCCAATAAACAATCACGCTTTTTCTCTGATGTTGATGATCCGTATGACATTTCATAAAAAAAAAGAGATTTCGAGCAGGATGGCATATACCGCTTCACGCTGCCACCAGTGTAACACTCCGAATTGTAGATAATTGGTAGCATGGTTATGATGAGTGTTAGCTAAACATATAACAGATGACTCGAGAACAAATAATAATATAGAGTTCAAGATGGTATTTTATTGAAGATGATTATAGCCTCCCCTCTGTGTACGCCTACAATAGGCAGAGGCAATCGCTGTCCAATCCTCACCTGAAGGTGGTGAGGACGAGAAGTTGAAGAACCCACATGAGTGATTTCACAAACTCTTTATACTTTTGGGCGAGTCCAAGCCATGGTCTGACATGAGACATTTAAGACCATATTAGGCCATGGTCAATATTATGAATTAAACATTAACACTCATGAATTAAACATAAAGACCTCATGGCCATAAATGGCCATGGTCAGTGGTTATTTCTAAGTAGAAAGTGGAATGACATACTCTAATGGAATGTGCTTATCTTGCATTTATTTACACTTCTAAGAAAGTACTGTTTAAAGGGTGTTGTGTTGAAGGGATTGTAATATTGGGTCTTACATTACTATATTGTTATAGCTCAGCTGCCAAAGTAACTAACGCTCAAGCATATCAGGTACTTTTTTACCACCGGGTAGAGAGAGGCAAATGTAGATTGATGCCTTGTGATTGAAATTTTAGGTGGATGAACAACTGTACAATGACATCTCAACCTCTCTATATAATGCGATAATGAACGTCATTGTTTGTGTAGTACATTTTACATATGATGGGCCAAGTCTAAATATGAAAGTTCATGAAAGTTGGATGGAAATCAAAGATGATTCTAAGTGAAACAAAACAAAATTAGTCTCGAATTACTGTTCAAAATATGAATATAAAGTTATATATGTAGCCACATGGATGAGAGTCTAGATGAGACAATGTCTGTAGTACTCATACTGAATGCTTTTTAGTAAAACATAATTTCAAAATGATCTTCACATCTTTAAGAGTCTTCTCCCAATTGTGTTTTTGCAGCAACCACTCTCCCCTCCGACATCAGTGATAAACCAGCACCCACATGGTTTCCATGCCGGGGGTAATGGCATGCCACCAAAGGTTGATGTGGAGGATAAAGTGGGAGGCTGGGACATCATCAAGGCCATGCTTGGCTATGTCTGGCCCAAGGGTGACCTGAGTATCAAGTCAAGGGTCGTGGTGGCCATGTCCCTCTTGATCGGTGCAAAGGTGAGGATATTGGGTGGAATTCTCGAAAGCGGACTAACTGCAGTCCATGGTTTACACCTCTGACTAAGTATGGATTGCCAAGTGTCCATATGAATATGTTTTTGAATAATTTAATCTGTCACTAAATTAAAATAAAATGTGACAACATAATTAATATACAACAATATAACTATGAAATAATTATGGAATCATGGTAATTTAGGGACATATCAAATTATTCAAAAATATGTTCATATGGACACTTGGCATTCCATACTAAGTCGGAGGATTAAACCATGGACTAAATTTAGTCTTTCGAGAATACCAATAGGGGTTTCATAGTAGGAGGTTAACATTTATTAGAGCCATGCAGAGCTTGATTACATCCATCTAACGGGAGACCTTTGAATCAGGATAAGGGTTGCGGTGCCATTTTTTTTCTTGTTAGTCAGTGCAAAGGTGAGTTCTGCGTCATATGATTGGGGGTTCGGATATCATCAAGACCTTGACCCAAAGGGAGACCCTAGCATCAAAAAGAGGGGCGTGGTGGCCCTGTTCTTGTTGGATTGTGCAAAGGCAAGTTTTCAGTGATTCGGTAGTTCCTGCCAGGTACCCATTTAATTTTTCCTGGGTCAAGTGTGGCAAATGTAGACTAATGCCTGGTACGTTATATTATTAGTTGCATACATGAAATAGAAACAAGAACAGATTAGGAAACTGATTCCTTTCCATCTTTGTTATCGAATTGTTAAAAATATCATCAGTACTTGTTCTCAATAGAAAGGACCATGTGTTTGATGTTTCATTGCAGGTATTGAATGTATATGTTCCGTTCCTGTTCAAGCACGCTGTAGATCATCTCAATGATTACCAGACGGCCTCAGAAGCAGTGGCATCTGTCGGGACGGGAACTACGGTAGTCACCACCCTCCTGCTAGGCTGTAAGTACAACAAAGCTAACTTTTCAGTTAAATGGAAAAGAATCATAATAAAAACGGAGCTTATAAAGCGCTTACCACCAAAGTCTCTAAGTGCTATAACCAACAAAATACAATGATAAACAAATACATATTAAACAAAACAAAAAGAGAATGCAAATAAACCTACAAATTACAATACATATGGAATATACATCAATGTGAACAGAGTAAGTTAATCATCAAAAGCAATTTTGAATAAATTTGTTTTAAGACAAGTTCTGAATTGGTTAATGGTTTGACAGCTTTTGACATTTAAAGGTAATTTGTTCCAAAGTTCAGCAGAAGCTTTGCAGAAAGAGGGATGACAATAAGAAAGAGTTGACACCGAAGAAGACACAAGGTTTAATACTATTCTTTGTCCAGTGGATAATTGCTTGTTCAGATATGAAGCTGCAAAACCGCAATGTTTTTTTAATGATGATGTAATGTGTAGTACGATCCACATTTTTATTTCTTTTAACAAAGAACTCATTTGTTGAGCGCAGATGCCATTCCTTTACACTTAAAAATTGCAGCGTTTTTTCTGTAAACACTGAGCCATATTTGAACAAGCGTCCAGATTGTTACAGGATTTGAATTCTGTTGCAGTCCTACAGTCCTTTGGCAAGACCTAAATCTACATTGCCCCTCCCCCTGCTATATACATTATACAGGACTCCACTATTAGTATCATTATCAGTAGTCATAGTGGTTCATTCACTATTGGCTCTCTATCCAAGGGTTGAGGGTTCAAATCCCAGCATTGGACTAATGTACTTTTGCGAGACGTTAATCCAAATTTGCCATTCTCTGCCCAGGTGTACTTTGGAAAATGCTGGGGTAATAATTGCAGGCCCTGCAGGAAGAGCAGTATTGATATTGATGTGGCTACCTTAGGTTAATAAGACCCAATTATTAGTAGTATTATTATTTTCCTTTTTAATCAGATGGAGCAGCACGTGCAGGTGCGTCCCTCCTCAACGAGGCGAGGAACGCCGTCTTTGCCAAGGTGGCCCAGAATTCAATACGACGGGTTGCAAAGAATGTCTTCACCCACCTCCACCAGCTAGATCTGAGCTTTCACCTGTCTCGCCAAACGGGGGCGCTCTCCAAGGCCATCGACAGAGGGAGCAGGTAAGTCTAGAGCTGCTTCAAATTTCATTATCAAACTTGAGTTAACAAATTTTGCTCACTTTCTGTTAACTATCGCTTTGTTTGTGCAGTGCACAATAGCAAACCATATTACACCCCTTCCACCCACATGAGCGCATAAATTTACACATTGCCAAATAATTTCATGACCAGATCTTGCCATTTAACTCTGGATCAAGGTCAACTTATTTTTGCCAGAAGTTTGATCCTCTAGGGGTTTTGTTCTGCTTGTTTGTTGTGTGGAAGTGGATGGAGGTTTGAAGTTCCAAACTTGGATAAAGAATAAGTTACTACTAGACACTGAACCAAAAAAATCCACCATGAGTCGTTGAAGTCGGTTGTTTTTTCACATGTTTTATTTTCTATGTTAAACCCATATTATCAGGGGGATCAACTTTGTTCTGATGGCTCTAGTATTCAACATTGTGCCAACTATCTTCGAAGTGTGCCTTGTCACCGGCATCATGGTAAGAATACAATGAATTACGTACAGTAACGACTAAAGTATTCATACTCTTACCAAGTTTAGTAGTTATTTAAGTATGTGAATAATGTATCTCTCCAAATTTACGTTTCGTAAAATTCATGTCATATTAGACACTTCTTTAAAGCTTATCAACACTAGTGTGGTTAGGAAGGATTAGACCACACAGTGAGGTCACTGACAGGTGGCTATCTCATCAACTCAGCTCTCAAATAACATAAGAAATAGAGGATCATGGGGGACCAACAAGCACCGATTGGGGAAGTTTTCTATATAGAGGGAGCAACTAGCTACAAGTAGGACAGTGGGGCTTTAAGCATGGTAAAGACATCCTTGTAAATTTTTTTCCTGACTCTTCTGAGAGTTCTGTTGGTCAGTGAGAGGTATGACTAATACAGTCAAACCTTCTTTAGTGACCACCTGTCTTCAAAGACCACAAATTTGTTGTTTCCCTTAAAAATAGTTTCACATTGAAACATGTACTAAAGGAACCCGTCTACAAAGACGACTTTTTTTTATTCCCTTGGGCGGTCGCTATAGACAAGTTTGACTGACCCTGTATAAGCATTTAAAACCTTTCTACCCATAGTAATATCTTTGGGGAGTGTTTCAAAAAGACTAAGATCGACCTTAAGTTGGAATCGACTATGGCCGGTGGTTCATGCCACTGTTTTCTCCCACCATTATGATCTTTAATAGATAATATCTTTTCCTTCAATAATGAATTATCAAAAAATGTAAATTCTAAAGATATGTGACCATGATTTGTATGTCCCTTGAGAGACCGATGCCAGTAAATGGTTAGAGAAAACAGTGGCATTAACGACCAACTTAATGTCCAATTTAAAGTCGATCTTAGTCTTTGTGAAACACTCTCCTGGGACCCATTTCACAAAGACTTTTTTCAATGACAAATGACAAAAATCAGTGACAAATCTGTAGATAACCAATCAGAAGCAAGCATTTCAGTAGCTTATAACAAAAACTGTCATTTGTCACTTGTGAAACGTCCCCCTGATCTCCAACCTTACAGTACTACAAATTCGGTTCCCCCTTTGCTGTCATCACCGTGATGTGCATCGGAGCGTACTCTCTCTTCACGCTGAGCATCACGGCGTGGAGAACCAAGTTCAGGGTTCACATGAACAAAGCAGACAACGAAGCGGGTAACCAGGCCATTGACTCGCTCATCAACTATGAAACGGTCAAGGTAATGATGCTGCCTATTCTACGTGTGAATTTATCTAGTATATTTATCCTTTTATGTAATTTATATTTGATGTTTACGTGTATAATGCTGCATTTTAACCATTATGATGAATTTTACCTTGTAAATGACCATGCAATTCAGCTTCGGCTGCAAGAACGTCATTTTGAATAAACCCTTATTGAATTGAATGAATTTAAAACGATTATGTAATTAGATTGAAAATTAAAGATCAAGGGGTGGGGGATGGTGAACTCGCCCCCTCCCATTTCCCCTATATCTCCGCAAATATGCTCTTACATTTTGGATTCTTGTATTCTGCTTTAGGACTGGCCCCCCTTCCCATGATGAACCAATGATGATTTTTTTTTTTGCACCATTTTATGTTTCTCTTGATTGCATTTTGTTTAGATAGTTGTGATTTTGATTTGAAATGTTAACTGCCAACATGAAGATAGAGATTGAATTGCATCAGATATTTTTACTTTCATTGCCTTATTTAACCTGTTGACTACTGAATTATTTAATTCTCACAGGCTTAATACAGGGAGCCACCCGGTTACCGTAGGCAATGGGTTCACAATCTGTGTTTCCGTAGTGCAATGCCTTTAATCTCTCAACCCCCTTTCAATTTCAGTACTTCAACAATGAGAAGTGGGAGGTCAACAACTACGATAAAAATCTTGCCCTGTACGAGCATGCTTCCCTAAAGACGGCCACCAGTCTGGCCCTTCTCAACTTTGGTCAGAATTTCATCTTCAGTGCATCGCTAGCAGGGGTCATGGTGCTAGCAAGTCAGGGGATTATTGCAGGTAAATGCAGTCTTGCAATATTTGAACAAAAAGTAATGTTTAAAGATAAGCTAGATCTAGTTCTGTTAATGATAGAAAATAAACTCTCACAGAATCCAACAAAACTTAAAATGAATGTTCAAGAATACAAATAAATGACATGTGCGTAATGATTATGGTAGAAAATGTATAGGTGCTGAGTGTTGAGCATTGTAAGATTAGAAAATCCGGTTAAGTACATGTAGGCCCGACACAATGTGCTTTACACAGGTCACTATGTGCAAATGAGAGTTGTGGCTTTACTGAAGATGATTTCCAGCAAGTTTTTGTTCGTTTGTTTTTATTTTACTTGTTCAAACAATCAATCTACTAAACAGCAGGCTTGCTGTTGCACCATGTGAGAGAGGGGAAAAATTGGGGAGTCCTGAAAAGGACTCTCTGTAATCTCTCTTTCTTGAGTGTGTGTTGTCCTGAAAAAGAATGTTTCGAACAGGTTGACTATCTGTCGTCAGGAGTGCAACCTGCTGTATATCTAAATCACCATGCAAGCCGATACTTATAAGCAGCATCTAATCAATCTACTGCAGGATAAACAATCCAGAATGAAATATAGCCATGGGCATAAGGGTATAAATAAGTTAGTGGACTCCTTTATGCATGAAAATACATGTTTTACATTTACCTCTTTATTATTAAACAAGGTCAATTGACGGTTGGAGATCTAGTCATGGTAAACGGTCTCCTGTTCCAACTCTCGCTGCCTCTCAACTTTCTTGGCTCTGTCTATCGTGAAATCAGGCAATCCCTCGTCGACATGGGCACCATGTTCAACCTCCTCAAGGTCGAGACAGACATCAAGGTAAGAAGCATCAGAGAGTCCTCTCTCAACTTTGACACTTTTAAAGCCCCACTGCACTGCTTACAGCGACTTGCGCCCTCTATATGGCAAACAATGCCTAATCGGTGACCATTGGTCCCCCATGGTCCCTTTTTTCTTATGTTAATTGAGGGCTGATCTGATGAGATAACTACCTGTCAGTGATCATGCAGAGAGGTCTAATCCCTCCTGGCCAAATTCCTTTGACATCGTCATCTAAACAATGTAAGGAGTATATTTCAGCAATTGAACTTTTTTTTTAGAGGGGGGGGGGATTAGATATTAGTTACCAGTATCTTTTTTCAAAGCTGTTTGGATTCTTTACCAGGTGATTTTAATTTTATGACGAAAGCTTGAAGACTTCATGTTTGGGTCATCATCTTGTGTATATTTTCCTTCTCTCATTGTTGTGGAGCCCAGGAGTGTCAAGTTTGACAGACATGAGTGCCATACAAGAACCCACTATGATTATTATTATTGTCTTATACAGTGAATACTGTCTATAAAGACCACCCAAGGGAGACAAGAAAAGTGGCCTTTATAGGCAGGTGGTCTTTATGTACAGGTACTTTTAGTACATGTTTCAATGAGAAACCATTTTCAAGGGAAATAAAAAATGTGGCCTTTGTAGACAGGTGGTGGCTAAAGCAGGTTTGACTGTACCAATATTGACTCTGTTATAAATGTCTCCTACTTCCTACAGAGCCAGATCAATGCCCCAGCTCTGCAGATAGCCCCTCAGGAGTCTGGCATCACCTTTGAGAACGTAGCCTTTGGATACCTCCCTGAACAGCAGATCTTCAGTGACCTCAGCTTCCATGTACCTTCGGGAAAGAAGGTCGCTATCGTCGGAGGCAGTGGGTCAGGGTAGGTGGTCATGTTAATCCTTATGATAGTGGTGGTTATTTTACCTGACAGCTAAGAAAGCAATAAATGCTTGTTAGTAAGTAACCAGAAGACTGACGGCTTTAGGTCCTCTCCGAGGGACCTGGCAATGATGATTAATGCCTAACCAAAGGGCACTAGCGCATCCCCTTGGTTTCGAACCTGGGTCACCGGATTACAAGACCACTGCTCTACCGACTGAGCTATTGTCATTACATTACATATCTGGTAACAAGGCCAATATTATTGTTCTTTTCTATATCAACCATACTTATTTAAAACTGACAAATGTTTGAATATGACACCAGTTGTGGGTTGTCAATATCAATATAGGAAATGTGAAGAGTTTAACTACCTCATATTTAACCAAGTTTTGCACATACACATTAATTTGTTATTCATGCCTCCTGATATTTGCCATATATTTGTGCAGGAAGTCCACCATAGTGCGGCTCCTATTCCGGTTCTATGATCCCGATGCAGGGAGGGTACTAGTCAACGGTCAAGACATCAGAGAGGTCAACATAGATAGTCTCAGGAAAGCTATAGGGGTTGTACCTCAGGTATGTCAGCTTGTGTGTGTGTGTGTGTGTGTGTTAATGAGTTTTTTACCGGCGGATATCAATCAGATATGATTATTTACGTCTGGGGACCAACTTTTAACGTCACCATCCGAAAGACGTGACTCAGTTTTAAACCTGTGTCCTCGGCTGAATCAGTTTGTAACTTCCACTGTTGGCTGGATTACAGGCGCACGCCACAACGCCCTGTTAGCATAATATTCCAACTGTTATGGTGTGGTATGTACATACATTATACCGGTAATAATAATAATAGTAGTGGGGTTCTTGCGTCATGCTCAAGCTTGTCAAACTTGACACTCCTGGAGCTCCACAATGGTTACTCCGGCTTTAACATGGCAGCCATTATGGCGCTCTAGCTTTTCAAGGAATTAAATATTGTCAGGTATGGTCTTAGGTCCAGTGGTTCCTTTGAAGACTGCCCTTGCATTCAGAGTTCGGAACACATACATTGCATACATTGGTGGTGGTTATTTTACCTGACTGCTAAGAAAGCATAAATGCTTTGTTAGTAAGCAACCAAACGGCCGACGGCTTTAGGTCCTCTCCGTCGTACCACTGTTCTACCGACTGAACTATCGCGCCTCCTCAAGAATGAAAAAATGGTTTTCGGGTTATTCATTCTCTATTGATTGATTCTAAATCTTAAGGGGGATTGATTTTCTACACAATTTTAACAAAAATTCAGGAATATTAAAAAAAAAAAAAAAATACTTTTTGAGGATTGTGATCCCTTTTGTTTTTCAGGACTGTGTCCTCTTCCATAACTCCATCTTCTACAACCTGCAATACGGGAAACTGGACGCCACCGCTGAGGAGGTCTTCCAGGCAGCCAAGATGGCCGACATCCACCAAGGAATCACCCGCATGCCAATGGGCTACGAAACCCAGGTGGGTGAGAGGGGGCTCAAGCTGTCTGGGGGTGAGAAGCAGAGGGTAGCCATCGCCAGGACGATCCTCAAGGACCCGTCTATCATCCTCTATGACGAGGCGACGTCGTCACTCGACTCCATTACTGAACAGGTATGACTGTCACAATGCCAGGGGGCATGACTTTACACCTCGGGGGTGTTTCATAAAGCTGTGCGTAAAGCTATGAATAACTTTACAAATGATTTGAATATGAAGAGCTAAATTGGATTCTCAAATCCTTTTAATTGCAAGAGCTAAAGTTTAATATGCAGATGTAGATTAACCTGATCATTATTAACAAAACATTTTAATGCAAAGTGTATTTTGGGCTACAAGTTTAATTGAGATTATGGGAAATACAGTCACACTTTGTTAAATGTCAGGAAAAAAATTTTGGCATCCCATTTGGCTCTTCATATTCAAATCATTTGTAAAGTTATTCATAGCTTTACGCACAGCTTTATGAAACACCCCCGAGGTGTAGATACTACATGAGTACGATTGACATTTTGAAATCTTGTAGATTAGATAAATCAAATATTTTATTTCATAATTCTCAGGAAAAAAAATAAAAATACAGGTCCCTGCACATTTACACACATTCAATTTTTTTGTTGAGCTTACTTTATATACACACATACTTTTTTGCTCCTGAACATTTGACCCATTTCCTATCTTTCCATGTCATACTTTGGCAAATTTCGAATTTGGAAAGTTAATCGGAATTTGTTTTTATTGCTGTGTTGTTAAAACTCTTATAAGATGATACAGATTTAAGGTGTTGCTGATTTAGCAAAACATGCACAACGCAAATAAATTATTGGCATGGCACTTTGACGCAACACTTAAAGGTATAGACCAGTTTTGGAAATGCCCTCCTCTCAAAAAATGAAATATTGCCTTCTAAACCTCTGAAGGCAATAATTAAACAACATTGGATGGATATTTTGCACCCAAAACCCTTGAACCGCAATTTTACCACTACCAGTCTATATCTTTAATTAACTTTTTTCCACCCTTCAAATTGGCAACACAGAACATCCTCAACTCCATGGATGCGGTCACCATCGGACGAACGAACAGTTAATCGTGATTTGTTTTCATTGTTGTGTAGTTAAAACTCTTATAAGAAAGATGATACAGATGTTAGGTCACTGTTGCCGATTGAGCAAAAAACACATATAAAATATTGGCATGGCAATTAATTAACTTTTTTCCACCTTTCAAATTGGCAACACAGAACATCCTCAACTCCATGGATGCGGTCACCATCGGACGCACCTCCGTCTTCATCGCCCATCGTCTCTCCACCGTTGTCGACGCCGACGAGATCCTCGTCATCCGGGGCGGAAAGATAGGCGAGCGCGGCAAGCACCACCAACTCCTAGCGGATACCAACAGTTACTATTACGAACTATGGACCAATCAGAACAAGGTCGCTCTGGAGTCGGTCCTCGACGAAAAGAGTGGGGAAGAGTCTGAAGTTGAGGAGAACTTTAAGTCGTGATGATTGGCAGATTGATATTAGGGCATTAGATAATTATTCATAAGTGATAATTGCTTATTGAAGAGTAAAAGGTTTGTTCATTTACCACAGTATGTGGGAATGAGGCTTTAGAGATCATTCACAAATGATCCTGATGCTAGTGATACTGTGCAAGAAACTTTTTGTACCATCCAAGTTGTCTTCAGGGCTATTACATGTATCTTTCAGCATGTCAGAAATTCATGATGTTAATACCATTTGTGACTCGTCTAAGCCCAGGTACATGTCTTTTAAGTGGGATCGTGAAAATGCAAATGAATACTCTGATAGGCTGCACAGATTAACCTTACAGTTGTCAGGAATTATGGAAAATATACATGGAAATGTAAGTCAGGAATTGGTAGATCATTGCTACTCTGAGATATGTAACTCTTTTTTACAGGCTGCACAAGATGTTGGTGTGTGTAAGTGGAAACAGTCAAAGACAGCAAGGAGTCATAAAGAACAACATAATGTGAATTCGGCATCACAATTATGGTTTGATGCCGATTGTGAAGCTGCCCGTAAAGAGTATCTTAATTTAAGGAATAGGCTAAGCAGGAAAATTCAGCTAGGTAGAAGATTAGATGTTCATTCAAGTAACAGATATTGATGTTTTACAAAGTGAATTTCTTTTGGCATGTAAGAAATATAAAAAATTGCTAAGGTACAAAAGGAGGAAGTATGGTAAAGACTTTAGTGCCTCTTTACGGTCCTTGAAAAAACAAGGAAACCCTAGAGCCTTTTGGGATTTATTAAACAGTAATGGTCGTCAAACTAAAAGTGCAGTTAATGTTTCTTTGGGTGATCTTGTACAGCATTTTAAATCTCTAGGAAATGTATGTAAATCAGAGGATAATTTAGAGGAAAGGATGCCTTTGGATGCTGATAATGTGACGATACAAAATGATGGTTTGAATGAACCTATCACATTAGAAGAGGTTGAATTAATGGTTAATAAATTGAAAAATGCCAAAGCTTGCGGTAAAGATTTGATCAGAAATGAATTTTTGAAAAGTTGCCCCTTAGAAATGCGTAGGGTTATTGTTGATTTGTTTAATATTGTTTTAGATAGTGGAATCGTTCCCTCTGAATGGTGTATAGGAGTGATTATCCCAATTTTTAAGAATAAAGGTGAAAACACAAATCCAGATAATTATCGTGGAATTACCTTGTTAAGTTGCCTTGGTAAACTGTTTACCTCAGTCTTGAATAAAAGAATTTCTAGCTTTCTTGATAGTAATCGTATGTTAGGTGAGGAACAAGCTGGGTTTCGTTCAACATATTCACCCATTGATCATGTGTTTGTTTTGAAGACTATTATCGATTTTTACCTACAGAAAAGGAAACGCTTATATTGTGCTTTTATAGATTATAAAAAAGCGTTTGATTTAATTGATAGAAAGTTTTTGTGGTTTAAATTGTTAAAAATAGGTGTAAATGGCAAAGTCCTAAATGTTGTTAAAAGCTTGTACAAATGTGCGAAGTCCTGTATTTCTGTCAACGGCGCAATGTCTGAATTTTTCTCGTGTAACGTAGGAGTTAGGCAAGGTGAAAACCTTTCGCCATTGCTGTTTGCTGTTTATTTAAATGACTTTCAAGAGCATATTGCCAAAATTTATCCTGGCTTGAAAATGTTAAATGAAGAAATACAAAATACCTTACAGGGTGACGAATTAGAGCTTTTTTCAAAGTTGTCTTGTTTATTGTACGCTGATGACACGATCATTTTGGCAGAAAGCCCTGACGAATTACAAGTAGCGCTGAATGCAGTTCAAGGATATTGTAATACATGGCACCTAACAGTCAATGCGAGTAAAACTAAAATAATGATTTTTTCCAGAGGGAAAGTTAGGAAGATACCAAATTTTACGTATGGTCATGCAAAAATAGATGTGGTATATGATTTTGCTTATCTCGGAGTACTGTTTAATTATAATGGTACTTTCAAAAAGGCAATGGCCAAGCAGATAGTGCAGGCTAGAAAAGCGTTATACAGTATGTTGACTAAAGCGAAGAAATTGCAGTTGTCAGTTGATATTCAATGTCATTTATTTGACCATTTGATTTTGCCTATCTTATTGTATGGTAGTGAAGTCTGGGGACATGAAGATATAAAGCAGATTGAAGTTTTCCATAGGAAATTCCTCAGAACGTTATTATCTGTAGGTTCATATACTCCAGACTGTATGGTTTATGGAGAAACTGGACGAGGTTTGATTTTGAATCATGTGAAGGGTAGAATGGTTAATTTTTGGTCAAGAATTTTGAGAGGTAAAGATAGCAAATATTCATATGTCCTTTTAAAATTCATTTCTGCCATTCATAAAGATGAACATTTGGAATTTACTTCCTCATGGTTAAAATTTATTGAAGACACATTTAATCAAGCTGGTCTATCCAATATTTGGCTAGGCCAAAATAGTGGATTTGGCTTAAATATTAATTCTTTGCTAAAACTGAGACTAAATGATATTTTTGGTCAGGAATGGAGAGATGCAGTATGGTCAAATCGCATTTGCACAAATTATAGGATATTTAAAGGCAACCATATATTTGAAAGCTATTTACTCACCCTAAATAAAACTGATGCTTTTACTCTCTGTAAGTTTCGGTGTAGATCACATAAATTACCTGTAAACAAAGGTCGGTTTGATGCGAACACACCACATTGTGATATGCAGTGCACACTCTGCTTGTCCACTGATATAGGAGATGAATTTCACTATATTTTTGTTTGTCCGTTTTTTCAAAGAGAGAGATGTTTATATTTATCAAAAAAGTGTTGTAAGTCTAAGCTCCCAAGTGCTATGCACATGGCAGAACTTTTTAATACTAGAAGCACTTCTCAGTTGAAGAATTTAGCGAGATTTACCCGCCTTATTATGTTGAAATTTAATCAAAAAACAGAGGAAGAAGACAGTTCAAGCAGTTCAAGAAGTACAAATAGAGCTGAACCTACACGTACTCGTAGCGGTAGGATAGTGAAACAGCCTACTTTGTTTACTATTTAGCTTGTAAATAGACTGCATTATACTTATCCTTTTATTATTGTCAGTTTGTCACTATCTACATTCATTGTTCATTTTTGTACTTTCATACACTATATACCTATTATCGTTTTTATCTTTGTGTCATTATCTATGTATAATGTATGTGAATTATATTCATAAGTCATGCATTGTTATTTATACTTTTATGTTTGTTTGTACTCTCATACCCCGAGAGGGGGTCAAAGAGTCAATAAAATTCTAAATTCTAAATTCTAAATTCTAATGTCAGTATTGTATTGGCATTTAATATATTTATTGCCATTTAATGATAATCTCAGCTGATTCATGGAAGGCCAGGTGGAGGGTGGCAAATGTAGATTAATTTCTTGCCAAAGGACATTAGTCTCGAACCAAACCAGGAACCATGTGATCCACAGTCTGGCGACTTTTTCACTAGTCCACGATGCCTCTTAAATAAACTCACAGTGGTACCTCTATTGTTGCCTAGTTCAGTATTAAAACCAAAGCTCCAATATGCTAATTTTGAGGGCAGACCAAGAGGTTGATCTCCGACCCCTGGAGGTCAACTACAAAGTCTTTTAAAGAAGTCTTCAAGTAGGTCTCTTATTTGTGCAATTTTACTGTCGTGTTAAAGACGTTTTGGTGATGAAAATGAGAGCAGTCGAAAGTATGTGTAAATCTAGACAGAAATAACTGTCTGATATGGGTCATTTCTTTAATAAAACTGACATTTGTTGAGTATAGAGGCGGTCAGAGGAGCCAGATGCAATCTCAGCGGAACAACCGTCAATGTCAGAGACTGAAGCTTTCGGACTAGTGTATATCATGAGTTATGTTAAGAGTTTGAGAGTTACAATTAATATGATAATGCTATATTTGACTAATCAGTTATTGTAGATCCAATTCTAAAATGTACATCAGTAATGCTGATCATCATTTAAATTAAGTTTTTTCTAAAGGGAAGAATTTTTTTTACTAATTACGAGATAATTATTTTTATGTCTGAAATAGGACACTTCAGTAGCCTTCAAACATGAGTGGTATTTAGGTATGTATTCAAAGATATAGTTTCTTTGGAATTCTTAATTTTTAAAAGGCTTTGAAAGGAACTTTATTTTTAGAGTAGTGATATACTGGCTTATTTGCATGGCTAGAAATGCATACTACAAAGAGTAAGAGTATTTAAAGAAGTGGGGATATTTATGAATAAATAGATGCTACCATGCTGTGTCTTTCACAATTTTGGTCATTGCATGCATGGTTATAGCAGATGTTGTAACAGTATTCTTCAAGGGTGAAATTGAAATCCTGTAGCCTGTCATAAGCACGTTTCATGGAGGAAGATTTGTAAAAATTATATTTTTATTCAATTATTCATATTTGTGTACATTTTATGTAAAAAACAATGGCATAACAACTTGCCCATGTATAGACAATATATTGTTCGATACTTGAAATGAAGTAAAGAAGTCTTGCCTTTCTGGCAGAATCAATTTAAGTTGTACATTTGGATAGTTTTGTGTCCTGTTAATGAATCAAATTAATTTCTTTCATAATTTTACAATTAAACATTTCTGCACACACCGAGTCGACTTTTGTTGCATGACCATAAGTTGGCGACACATTTACAGGTTCCAACTTTTTTATGACATTGCTACCGACATTTATTGTTCTCAGGGAAGAACAACAAAATGTGATCAATATAGCACTTTAAATAATTATTGTTTTGAAAGGGTTAACAACAGATCATTAAATATTTAAAAGAACACACAAGACACACAAAATTTATCTCCTTTCATTAGTAACATTCTTACAGCTGCCAAAATGTTGTTTCTGGAATCAGAGATTTGTGCTAAGTGAGAGCAGCAAGCATTTGTACTGAGCGAGTAAAGCAAGCGAGCCCTTGAGGGTGGGGTTCAGGGTCCATAGGGTTAGTGCTCCTGGTGGGCTGTCCCCCCTGGAAGCTCCTGCTTTTGAGCCATTTAAAAAAAAACTGAAATACAAAGTTAAAAAATTTGAACGGACAATACACACAAAACTAGTCTCGTTTCGTTGGTCACATTCTTGGAATGATTTTAATTAGTATCAAAATAATCTGCTATGATTGCCAAAAAGATATGAGGTGATACAAATGAAATATACAACAAGACCACAAGATACAATATCTTTACAAGGAATGATGGATTGATTAAAGGCCTGTTCAGATACAGCGCTGTAAACCACTGCCAAAAAAGCCACGTTTTTTTCCCTATATCAATGACCGGCAAATTCGGGCAACACAGGACTTGCGCGTATTCACTGAGCTCTGGGTTATATGATACAGATACGTGAAGTGTATTACACTGTATGTCATCATAGTAAAAGAACGCTGAGGTTTTTCTGCATCATGTCTGAACAGGCACTAACACTATACTTTTTAAATATGACATGACATGATGGAATATAAAGGAATATGACATTGATAATTTCATTATACACACAAAAACAAATTAACCCTGTACCTCAAGGAAATCACATACAACGTATAATTATAAGAATGATTACAAGAAAATTGCCTCTTTGAAACAGAAAAAAGAGAGGGATTAAAAAACAATTGCATACGGATCGTAACATTGTACATACTTGTATATCTTGATAAACAACAATGATACATATAATACCCATTACCTAGTGACAATATAAAGTACTATTCTGAAATATTCTTGTCTTTTCTTGAATTATACAAGTAGATATGGTTCTACGATTCATGCTCTTCTGACAATTGACCCTACCGCAAATACAATGTTGATATTAGATGATGACTTTCCTCCCACACTGCAGTGAGCAAAAGTGAGGATACAATACTTGGAAAGACGATAAGGCATGGTTTCTTACAGCTTCCAAAGAGAATGTACAGCAGTGTCGAATAGTTCCTTATTGTTCAAGTTTCATGAACTCCCCCTGTGATTTGATGAGATCTATGTAGGCACCATCATAATCTGTTAATTATAATTAATTGGTTCCCAAACTATAATTTCTATTAGACTTTCAGTTCTCAGCCCCATCCATCATTGTATTCCTAAGGGAACTGGAAGTGCCTTTGCCAAATATACCCATGGCAAAATGAAGGCAATTGAGTACGAAAGAGAATAATTTATACACCTATACATGTACACCCACATACCACAATCAATTATTCATGAAATAAAATCAATATTCAAACCAATAGGATAAACAAATAAGACATTTATGAATAGAGATATACAATTGTATTAAAAGTATGTGATAGATATTAATCAATTGCTCTATTTTCATATATAATTGCACAATAATGATTTCCAATTAAGTAATTGGTGAGATTGAAAGAATGCTTGCACATAAGTATGACATTTCGTTTAATGCAATATACAAATATTTAAAAAAAACATGTATGTTATATTAAAATCTCAGTGATATAATTTGTACAATCTTAGTAAATTAGTACCATGAAAGTGAACTTCTAAGTAAGAATCTAATATCTTTTTTCTCTTCCTTCTGATTCTACAAAGTGTGCAACAGCAGTTATGAAGTATCAAGATATACATATCTCCATTGATCATACCATAACAAAAATTAGGTAAAATCAATATACACACATATATATATATATATATATATAATGTGATTTTTCATACGTATCACACATAATGCTTTTATAATCATTTTATAGGTGCACAGGTACTGTACCAAGCTTTAAAATATTGCATAATATATAACACATGGTGGTTTAGTACAGAATTCAAACTTGAACATATAGTACTGGTATGATTAACATTCTTGCTGAATGGAAAGCAATCTTTTTTTCCAAAAAATTTCAAATACAGCGACGACCCTCTACATGTAATTATCATAATAATGTCATTATAATTATATCACTATAATTATATCACTATAATACAGTTATGATCAATGTCACAAGGAATCGAAAGAAAGATGTAAAAAGAGAGGAAGTTGGGAGGGGGTAATTATGATAATATCATTATAATTACATCATTACAATCAAATTATGATTAATGTCATAAGGAATCAAAATAAAGATATAGAAATAGAGAGAGTTAGGAGGGAGTAATTCTAATATTATCATTATAATTATATCATTACATTACAATTATAATTGATGTCATAAGGAATCGAAAGAAAGATATAGAAATAGAGAGAGTTAGGAGGGAGTAATTCTAATATCATAATTACATCATTACAATCAAATTATGATTAATGTCATAAGGAATCGAAATAAAGATATAGAAATAGAGAGAGTTAGGAGGGAGTAATTCTAATATTATCATTATAATTATATCATTACATTACAATTATAATTGATGTCACAAGGAATCGAAAGAGAGATAAAAGAAATAGAGAGAGTTAGGAGGGAGTAATTCTAATATCATCATTATAATTATATCATTACATTACAATTATAATTAATGTCATAAAAAATCGAAAGAGAGATATAGAAATAGAGAGAGTTAGGAGGGAGTAATTCTAATATTATCATTATGATTATATCATTACATTACAATTATAATTAATGTCATAAGGAATCGAAAGAAAGATATAGAAATAGAGAGAGTTAGGAGGGAGTAATTCTAATATTATCATTATAATTATATCATTACATTACAATTATAATTAATGTCATAAGGAATCGAAAGAGAGATAATAGAAAGAGAGGAAGTTTAGAGGGGGGAGTGAGGGAGAGAGAAAAACACTTAAGGGGGAGGAGGATGGTAGAGGGGGAGAAAAGGGGAGAGAGAGAGAAGGAATCATACTTTTAACAATTAATCTGATTATTCTCTCTTTTTTAATCCTTATTTTACTTCCTCCTCATCTTTTTTATTCTTCCCCTTCTCCACTTGTTATTGTTTTAGTTTGTATTCTTCCTCTTTTCCATATCCCCCTCCCTCCCCCTGGTCTGTCATTATATCTACATTAAAATATATGACACCCTTTGTTCTGCGTCAGAAAAGTCTTTAAATGATTCAAACATGCTCATTCCCCTTTCATGTTAATATTATTTGTTAACTGTTATGTATATTTTATGCCAGTGGAGGCCAGGTTTCTGTGATTTTTTAAAATATGGATCACTAAAACATTTGAACCTAAATCTTAATTGGCAAGAGAAGTATTTTCAGTATGAAGGCAAGTATTTCCATTAAAGAAAATATAGAGTAAAAGAAACTTGGGCGATTCTTGGCAATGGATCGTGCACGACATGCGTCTTCTATCCTTTCATTTCATCTGCAAATGAAAAATGTCTTGATTTGACCACTGCATAATAGTTTGGTTTGTGGATGGTTTGATTTACCTGACTGGTAAGAAAGCATGTATATATGCTTGTATCAAAGTAAGCAACCAGTTGTTACATGGAAATAATCATCAGTCAATGATTATATAAAAATTGAAGAGAACTGTAATTTTTAGAAGAAAAATAAATGGATAAAGGACGTAATGTAAGGGACACATTCCATGGAATTACCTGATTGCTGAAATATAAACTGTAATATCTTAGAAAGTTAAAAGATATTTCAGAATTTTCCACAGAATTGCTTAATTTACAAAACCACTGATTACAAATGGTTAACTTTTAATGGTGTTTCATTTATACTAGGTGTAGTACCATCATTTTTACAAGAATTAAATTTTGTAAATATGTAATAAAAATAATTACTTTAAAATATACCTTTTCTACCCTAGGCATCAAGCAAAGAATGCTAACTTTTGCATTTTCTCTTGCACATACACATCAAATATATGTATACAAATCTTTGAGGTGAAGAAAAAAAAGCTGCGAGATTGAAGACCATCAAAGTTTGTGCACCTAGACTTATAAAGAGCATTAATAAAAAGACATCATATATTTTTTTTCCCATCAAATATTCCAATCATTTACCAACATTACAGTAGCATCTAGTGTATTGCACATGCATATGCACCAGCTGTTGTTGGACATTAAGTGAGACACATGTCTAGAATTAAGATCAAGTAGACCCAACATCCTTGTCTGAAGTCGACATATACGCAGATATTCGAAATGCAACACAGTAAGTGTCAGAAGTGGGATTAATCACGACATGTACAGTCAACCTGCTTTAATGCCCACCTGCCTACAAAGACCACATTTTTTGTCTCCCTTGAAAACGTTTTCTCATTGAAACATTTAAAGGAACCTGTCTACAAAGACCACTTTTTGTGTTTCCCTTAGGTGGTCCCTAAGGACAGGTTTGACTGTATCACAATAATCAAATAGTCACACCTCAGATAATCATATAATTTCTCAAGCCTCATCAACAAATAAATTGGTGCAGCTACGGCAATATAAACTGAGGTAAACGTAGTGCACTGCATATTAGGATGATGATGATGACGATGATTAATTTTTCATACCCTATTACACTAAAGGATGTTTGTGAATTGCAGTAATAGGTGCAGATACTGTAATTTTGTTCTCGCCCCCATTTTCCATTCATTATGTAAAAGCTTGGTCTTACTGACAAAGCCGACCCTGCATCGACAACACACTGAACAAGAATTTAGATTACGAGGAATGCACCATGAATGGGTCGCTTTGGAGTCAGTGTGGAGTTAGTGTGGAATCATTTAAGAGTCATTGCAGAGTTGCTTTGGTAGAGTGACTGAGGTACAAAATACATGAGGTGTTTTTTTTGTTATACAGTGGTTTAGTGCATCATGGGATTTATCATCTCCCATGAGATTAAAGGTAAAAGCAAAAGTATTTTTCCGTGATTGTTTAGGACTTGGCCCTACTACCACCTGGACCTGGACCTGGTCTTACAAGCCAGGGAGTGTCCTCAAGCGTGTACTGTAGATCTCTGGCTTAGCAGCACTCATCAAGGTAGTGTAGATAGTTTGGCTATAATATAAAAAAATACAGAAAGAAATAAGAATAAATGGAAATGAAAATAAAACCAAACACGAATGGTATGGTATTTTATGAAAAATAGAACTTTCTCAAAGTCTTGTGTTTGGCACTTCGGTACCATTTTAAATAAGTTTTTTCTTTTAAAGCCCCATTGTCCTACTTGTAGCTACTTTACCCCTCTACATAGCAAACAATGCCTAATCGGTGACCATTGGTCCCCCATGTTCCCCTTTTTCTTATGTTAATTGAGAGTTGATTTGATGAGATAACCACCTGTCAGTGACCATGCAGGGTGGTCTAATCCCTCCTGGCCAAACTAGTGCAGATTCAAAAGAATCTTACATGAAATATAGAATAATCAAGCACTACAGGTTATTCAAACATTCATACATAAAACATCACATTTGTTGATAAGTTCGTGTTACAGACCAAATTTTTTTATACACTCTTAGGAGGTTCAATGGTTCATGAGCTTTGATCTTAGGACCTGAAAGTCATGATCAAATCAAAGTGCGTACAAAACTGCCCTTTGGTAAGACATTAATCCTCAACTATATTCCATGTCCCATGTATAGGACTTACAGCCTTGTCAGACCTCAACAAAACCTATGATGATAAACTATATGCATATGAAATGCAACTATAATCATAAAAGGGGTAACATATGAAGATAAAATCCTCGACGTTTTGTCAATACAACAATATGGACATTGCCTCCATCGCTATTGGCTCTAAGAAATTGTTGAGGCTTGTCCTAATGTAAAGTTAATGTAAAGTTAATTGCCTATTTAGCATACATCAATGAGATTAGACCTATGGCAACGATTACCAATTCATTTGCCACTTAAACAACATAGGAAAGATTTTGAGAACAATTTGTTGTTATAGTTATCGTTATCATTCCTAGTGAGGTCTAACTAGGTCTTCACAGCTATTAAAAGGTACTTCAGTTTCTTCCCGATATAATTGCTTTCTCAGGAATCTGGAATAATAACAAGTGATAACTTTTTTTTTCTTTCTCGGTCTTTCAAGTGTCTACTTGTTTGCCAACATGGTTACTTAATCAATATGGCAGGATCTAGGAAGTAATTATTGGCACACCTTTAGGCTTTGTCACGAGTTTAATGCGAAATAGATGCTTTCACTTTCATGACTAATTTGTGCATTTACACACGTGAGGAAAAACAAATGCATGTATCCACGTGACCGTGTCAACTGTTGATACCAATAGTAGCGGCTACTCTTCACACATGCACTATATACACACACACACACAAAAAAAAAAAAACTAACAAAGAAAAAAAAACTTACTCATTCAGTACTGGCTGCGTCGACAAGACATTCCACATTGTGTTGTTGTCAATGTTTTTCTGACCTACAGAATTCATAGCCTTGTTTCCAGGATCTCTGTAATGATAAAGGAGAATATTTATTTTAAAAATATTATCAATCAAATTGTCAAAATTATAGTCCACTTCAGTCCAGGTTTGAACTCCCAAGTGGTTGGAGATAATCTACTGAAATATTGAGTGACAATCAATTAAGTGTCAACCTATTCATTCTCTAAAGATTGTAATTGTAATTCTGAAAATATATGAACACACAAAACCATTTCTATTCATGAAAATGTCATGAAATCAATTTGTCGTTCATACTCAATTGTTTTGTTTCAAATTCAGTTTGACACAGAATTACAGTATTTTATACAGAAATAATAACTCAGCACTTGGATGTTCAAAAACCAGTGGACTAATTAAGTCTCTCATTTAAAGCAGACTGAAGCTAGTACACCCTTATGCATACAAGTCGTTGTGTTCAACTGCAAGAACCTATTTGCAGGCACACTTATTCATGTAGAACAGACCATTTTGGTTATGCATATATGCACCTGTTACATTAAGTCACTGAATTTCAAAAGTCAGAATGTCCATTGCAGTGATCAAATACATTACTTGTTGATAGGTCAGGCAAACATAATGGCTTGTTTACCCAACAAGTTACATGTATGCAGGATTGCAGGCAATTTGCATTCTGACTATTGAAATGCAATTACTTGATACAGGTGAATGTAATAGTTTGTCAGATGCACTTTTACAGATGTATCATGCATTGAATTTAAATGCATTACAAAGATTTGTATTTGTTATCCTTCATGTAATTTTATGCATAACTTCTCAAACAAAGGTTTCTCTTGACAACTCAAAATCTTGCCTGAGGATTACCTGACATGGTAACAACTAATGTATGCAAAGATTAAAGTCTGTTTAGAGACTCAAGAATGCAATGCAGGTGAATAAAATAGTGAGAAACAAGGTGTTCTGAAGAGAAATTGACAATTCAGGGAAAATTGCCTACATTAATTGTTGCTAGGTAGGACAAACGTGTTGATTGCCCTACCTAACAACATGTAATACATGCAAAATGCATTTTGACTACCAGCAATGAAAAAAAAACAAGTGAATTAAATCATTTTTTTCAAGGCACTTCACATAGACATATGTATGTATTAAATTTGGTTACATTGCGAAAATGGCCAATTGATTACAAATTTTCAGAAAAAAGTTCCAACAGTCTTTTATTCTGAGATAACAAAGGAAATGACAGGGCTATACAGTTGAAGATTGTTTCCTTCCTAAGTAAATAGTTACATGCAAACATTGTTAGCTGCAATTCATTTTCTCAACACACAACCGCGCACACATACACAATTAAAAAGGGAAGAAGAAATTCACCCCTTCATGATGTTGAAAAGAAATGAAACCTCTTTGACAGTAATACATAACACTAACATCCAATACAATGATTACATTTGTGTCCAAATCTGAATCCAAGTATAGGATATCTAAATTTATCAAAAGGTATCTCAAATAATAGCATAAAAAGAAATTTCATTTTTATATTGTACAATGTACATCTTGAAATACAGATTGATTTTTAAATTATATATCCAACTTCAAAGCTTATGACCCACCTTTACACAGCTCTGCACCATTTTTTTTTTAAAAAACAAGTCTTGATTGAAAATTTAAGGGTCGTTAATGAAGGGGGCCCCTATGATTTTAAATTTAGATTTCTTGAACAGGAGTTTGGGGGCACACGTGTCTTGGGTGCCTATTTGAGTCTAGCCCTGTCACAAGTCGCTCTTGTGCTCATTGAGAGTGTTTTTTAACTTGCAAAATCTCTTCATAGAAGAAATATGTGAAGCTCACAGTTTGATCGTAGTACAGAAAAATTGAGCCCATATCATACAGATAAAAATATTTCTAGTGATAGGTACATGTACCCTTTTAAAAAGCAAAGTCCCAAGATTAATGACCCAAGTACCAAGGCATATCCAAAGTTCACAACTAAAACTGCACAATGGACTTTCAAGACCAGGGGAGTGTTTCACAACAACTAAGATCGACTTTAATTTGGACTTAAATATGGCAGGCCATTCATGCCACTGGTTGCTCTCACCATTGGTCTCTCTCAATTAGGATCTTTAGATAATATTTTTCACTTCAATAATGCATTATCAAAAAACGTAAATTCTGTAGATTTGTGACCATGATTTGTATGTCCCTTGAGAGACCAATGCCAGTAAATGGTGAGAGCAAACCATGACATGAACAGCCTGCCATAGTTATGTCTAACTTAAATTCAATGTTAGTCTTTGTGAAACACTCTCCAGGTCATCAGATATGGTTTGGAAAACATCATTAATTATCAAATGAATCCTGGTGCATTGCCAATGTTTCAATGTCCTAATATCATTTTTATATGGAGATGTGACCTACATTCTCTCTTATCTGTGACACTTAACGCAATAAGCAAATATTATCTTGTAAGGCGAGCAATCATTAGAGGTATAGTGTACAGCTCAAAGTCCTATCGAGGGTGAATGCTTTCCATCATTTGATTTTCATCTTTTCTTGCTTCAACATGAACTTTGAATACTACTGTACTAGCTTTATCTGGGCAGTCAATAAATAATGCAAAGGGCATTTAAGTAATAATTACTAGAAGGTTCCATCTGGATTAAGAAGGCAGCTGAAGATTTGAATCCACAACCTTCTGATTGAAGCCAGGGCCCCCGTCAAATAAAGAGCTGATTTGAATCGATCGAACTCCTCTAATCAATCACAAATTTACAACCTTTTGTCCCTTAAATGCACAGTTGTGATTGACTTCAAGTTATGATAAATAGGAATCATTCATTACTCTTTACAAGACAGGGCACAAGTGATTGAAGAAGCACTGTACAGTGCATCCCCAAAAAAACTATACACTTTTGAAATGGCTGCCAAATAAAAAAATATATAATTCTTGGGAAAAAGTTTTATATGTATGGAAAGCTCATAAACTCAACTTTCATATGACACCAAAAAGTCTGAAAACAATTCATGCTTGGGTGAGCACTGCTCACTTTTGTAAAGGGTATGAAAATTAGGTTGTGCAGGAATTAGCCTTCTAATTTGTGAGAGGTAAATCCTTTGGAGCTTACAAAATTGAGGGTGATATGATACATTCATGATTTGCTGAGTGGATTTCATGGTTTATTAAACCAAACTTTTAATTTTTATTGTAGCATTGTAACTTTCCCTGGTAGACCCAGTGGTGTGTTCATTGGAGTCAGGATGGGGTGATGGTACATGTTGTAATTTCCATGTTACAAACTGTTATTATTTTTTTACATCTGTGACTTTGAATAAAAACCTCTATTTGCTTCTATACATGTATAAGCAATATACAAGTACTTGTTTTTTCATTTTTTCATTGCAGTTATGGAAAATGGTATCATCAACTTCCACATCATCATCAAACTTTTAGATAAGGTATCAGTCCTCAATTACCAAGTCCCTTGGTTAAGATGTAAAGCTTTAGGTCCCTTATTTGCTTATTCACAAGCACATAATGTACACATACTTTCTTTCTTTACTACATCAGTCGGAAAATTATACCAGATTCAAAATCATCATTGCCTTCATTGTCATCATCAGCATCAGCATCACCCTCATAATCATCACCATCATCATCACCATCATCATCTTCATCATCATTATATCATAATCATTACCATCATCACCATCATCATCATCACCATCATCATCACCAACATCATCTACATCACTATCATCATCTTCATCATCACTATATCATAATCATTACCAACATAACCATCACCATGACCATCTTCATTATCATCATCATCATCATCATCATCATCATCATCATCATCATCATCATCATCACAATCATAATCATCATCACAATCATAATCATCATCATCATCATCATCATCGTCATCATCATCATTATCATCACTATATCATAATCATTACCAACATAACCATCATCATTCGGATATCATTGTCATCATCATCATCATCATCATCATCACAATCATCATCACCATCATCATCACCAACCTAATCATCGTCACCATCATCATTAGGATATCATCATCATCGGGGTGGGGGGAACTCCTTACCTTCTATCGTCATCCTTAGGGGGAGGCACCCAGTGATCATAGTTTGTCTCTAACAAGAACCATCTGCAGAAAAGAAAAAAGAATTAAGAGAAACTTTCATGGATGAGAAGGACTACAAATGTAAATGTAAATTTTTAGATTCTATTCAAATGTTGCACATAAATAGGCCCTGTTTGCAACACTTAATAATACATTTTGATTATTGTTACAGGGATGCATAATACAGAAATTCACAACGAATTGTAATGTGGCAATGGCAAATTGAGATCATTGGTGCATGCACATGTTATTTTTTTTAAACCTGACCCGAATGAATTGTAATAGTTTTTCATAATTGCGATAGATTGCAAACCCTTGTGTTACACAGGTAAGATTTGATACCTCTGTATCAAAAAAATTGAGAGGTATACATCATTACAGCTTAGTCTATGAAACCCAATATCCATCTCTATACCTGTTCCCCGATAGGTCCAGCCTCCATACATTCACGGTCGTTACCCTGGCCTTGGTGATGACCACTCCTTCTCCTGAGTCGAGACCGGCAACAATGATAACTTATTTAATATAGAGGTATCTTTACAGCTTATTCTATGAAACCAAATATCCATAATCTCTACCTGTTCCCTGATAGGTCCAACCTCCATACATTCACGGTCGTTACCCTGGCCTTGGTGATGACCACTCCTTCTCCTGAGTCGAGACCGGCAACAATGATAACTTATTTAATATAGAGGTATCTTTACAGCTTATTCTATGAAACCAAATATCCATCATCTCTATACCTGTTCCCCGATAGGTCCAGCCTCCATACATTCACGGTCGTTACCCTGGCCTTGGTGATGACCACTCCTTCCCCCGGGTCGACACCGGCAACAATGAGGTAGGCTGGGGCAACCTCTTGCTCGCTGGTAAACCGTTGAACAACCTCATCAAAGCTGTTATCATTGGCAAGGGCCTGTTAGAGATACGAAGCAATGTTTCCTTTTGATTCATACTGCTTCCCAGATTTGAATTCAAATTGAAGTTGAAGTTGAAATTGAAATTGAAAATTTAAATTGAAATTGAAATTCAAGCTAAAATCAAAAGTGACATTCACATCAACAATGACATTAAAATAGAAATTGAATATGAAATTGAAATTGAAATTGAAATCATTTCCACACACAAAAACAGTGACATGGGCATGTTTTGTTTTGTTTTGTTTTGTCCTTGAACTTTTCATCAAATTTGCATTCACTTTCCAAAGAAATAAATAAATCAGATTTTCTTCCTCAAATTGACAAAAGTGACCTCACATCTTTGACCACAGTGATCAGTAACTAATTTGAAAGAATTTTTATGAGAAAACATTTAGAGGAATATTTTTGTTCACTTACATCTCTCAAAACGAAGGTTGTAAACTTGACTTGCCCCAGGAGCAGGGCTTGTAACATCTCAACGATGTTTTCAATTGCTTTCCCCTTATCTTCAAAAGAAAATGAGAAACAATAAATATATTCCTGCATTCAAACTTCCAAAATTCAATATACAGTAAAACCTGTACATAACAACCACTCAAGGGAAACATGAAATGTGATCTTTATAGACAGGTGATCTTTCTATATACAGGTGGTTGCTATAACAGGTTTGACAGTAAGTTCTACACAAAAATCATACAAGAAGCGGATATATTAAGTAATTACTTTAATTCTAGTCTGAACGCTGTATAAAGAATGTAAACTGAAAGATTTTCCTTTTTATGAGACACACTGTGGGACACAAAGAATTAGGGCAACCACTCCTTGTATGTTCATCGTACATGTATCTGGTATGTACAGTATTAGTATAAAATGTTGCCTTTTTCATATCAAAGAAAGTCAGTTGGGTATATTAAACATTGCTGCTTTAATGACTGCTGCTGTTTATTTCTGTTCTTTTTCATGCGTCCTTGATATCCAATTTCCCCTTTTATTCCCTTTTTTGCGCAAACAAGTATTTTCTTACCTCTCTCGTTCAGGCTGATGGTGAATTTATACGGTTTCATGCCAGTAAAGACTCCCACTTGACCCACAAAAGAAGTGGTAGTGTACACAGTCTATAAGAAATGCAAACACAGATGAATATATTTACAGTAACTTTATACAAAGGGAGGATTGTCACAGAATCAGATAATATTTGGTCGAGATGATTAGAATATTTGCAAGCAGATGTTGACATTTCATAAAGAATCTAAAATCCTAAAGTTACAATGATGTGAGATCTTTAAACGCTACAAGCTACCGGTATACTTTTTTATTAAGTTCCTTTTTTCACATACCGGTATGCAATTTCAGAATTATCTAGTGTAAATGCATTACAAACTTATGCCGTGGAGATGTCTTTATTGTTCGTGAATATCGATTTTAGTTGATAATTAATATGCTTTGTTTTTGTGCTAGGTTGTATTAATGTATTGTTTTTTCATGTGAAATAAAAGAAACTAAACTGAAAATTGAAACTAGAAACTGATTGGCCTTTAAAGATCTGTAATTAGTTGGGGTCATTTGTATCATATGCCATCTACATATGCTATAATGCATTGCACATATTTATATGTATGCAAAGGAAGAACAGACATAATATGTATTTCCTGAAACTACAAGGGTCTGTGAACTCTGTATAGATCAATTCGATCAAATCTGCAGGCATATAAAGATATACCGGTAGTTTGTATGCTTATTGTATTTGATAACTCATCCCAGAATCTAAGCAAATAACACAAATCTATTTGCAGAGCTACATGTACATCTATAACAGTGGGAGAGTGGGAGACAGTTTCATTATATCTGAGATCAATGCAGTGACCTTTAGAGAGAGGTCATAATATTCTATAAAACTCAGTAATTGATGGGCCCTATTCATACTAGTAGAGGCCCCAAAAGTAAAGGCGTAGCACTCCCTTTTCCTAGGCTCTTTCTTGCATCTTCACAAATTTCAATGAACAAAATACTTGAGGCCAAACCGATAACAGTATGCAAGCAAAACATTTTCAATAAAACTCACAAATCTTGGCACAATGGGACGCCTGTGCTGTACCTGTAAAACTAGTTAATTGTATTTCCTAGGCTTATTTAACAATATACATGTATTTCAAAAACCTAGATTCTGCTTTAAAGCCCATATACATGTACAGTAATAGTAAGTTCAACACAATGTTGGTATGAATTTTGAGTGATGTTTTCATTAAATTCACGGAGAAACATCTCACTTTATCGTCTGTTCATATATAGGTTTTCCAAATTTTTGAACTTTTTGATTTTATTGAAAATAACACTCAAGATACAACTCACAATGTAAGGCACAGAATAATTTAGATGTACACGTAGGCTTACTATGTGAATTACTTCCTCCAGTAAAGTACATAAAATAATCATTATTTGTCTGGACCACTTCTTATGAGGTTCCTGAACTAAAAAATATACAATAATTGTTTTCACCCTTCTCATCTTTCACTCAGTGTATAAACAGGAATGTTTTCCAGAAATTCAATACATTCAGTACCATCACTATGCATTAGAAAGAAAGTCAACGACCTCTTGGTCCTTATTCCTTATCTTGTTACATAATCAAAATGACAAATAAAACAAATTTTAAAAAAGAGAGTTGGTAGACTGAGAAATGGTTCTAGATATATTAAACTGTAGGGATATAAACATTATGTGCATAACACAATCACAAAGGGGAAGTCTACTCCAATATTATCTACTTTAAATGGAAGCAGACAAATCAGAGACATGGGTCAGTGAAAGTTTGAGCAAAAACCGTTAGAAAATAAGAGAGTTATGAATTGTTAAAGGTGCAATCAATCAAACACAAATTGGCAAGTCTGTGACAAACTTGCAAGCTTCCCTGTATTAATTCATACACCTGGGTAGCATTTTTATCGAATTTGACATGCTCTTAGGTAGCAGTGTACTGAAAATTAAAGTTGGGGTATTTAAAAAGGATCTAATCCTTTTTGTGTCAACTGTTTCTATTTTTGGACCCCATGGAAAAACAGGACCACGGCTACCAAACCGTTTGTCTATACTTTACACATTTACTTACTTTCTTATCATTTCAAATGTGTTTTATATGTATGTTTTTAAATCTTGTATGTATATATGGATTTCAGAAATAGAAACAAACAAACAAACATCATTTCATTCTCTTTGATATGAATAATTTGTGTACTTAGTTCATGTTAACTTCAAAAATTCTCATAACAAAATGCACAATTTGCCTGGAGGTTAAGCTATCATATGTTGACAAAAGGAACCTTTACCACATGACAGCACTAAGTACATGTGTCACATGATTAGACAATAGACTCTTGATAGTGATAACACATCAGTTCACATGATTGGCTTCTGTAAACAGCTATGTCCACATGACAGTGCGCTAACTTTAAGTTTAGGGCATGGTTTTAAACTTTGAAGTTATCTTGCACAGGCGGATGCACTCATGGTTATGAAACTTTAAGTCAACTTAAAGTTACAAACCAACGACAGATCTGATGGTTTGCGTGATAAATATAAGCAGCAGAGGGTCCTCAATCAAAATTATGTGTCATGCGGACGCAATAAACTTTGAGATTACGCCAGCTTGTGGTTAAAATGAATACCTGCCAGCTTGTAGTTGTGGTTAGCTTTAGGCCTGTCATCATCAGCTTGAGTTTGCCAAATAACCCTCTATTTTCAGACTCCAGGTTTTATCCCTAAGCTCGAAATTGCGTCTTCACCAGGATGATATGCTCATCACAAAATAAATTAGCTTGCTATTTCCCAAATGGTGGGATATTTTGGAAACAAGACCAAAATTTCTCGGGATATTTTCTCAACCAAATATCCTGCTAATCGGAACTGCGGGCTGATGAGGACACAAATTAACTTGTTAATTTTCAATCGGGATACTTAAAATAGCAGGTTATTTGTAAAGCGCTTAGAGACATTTGTATTAAGCGCTATATAAAAATTAAATATTATTATTATTATTATTTGGCAAACTCGAGCTGATGAGGACAGGCCTGTTGAAAACTTGTTGTTTCGGTTCCATA